GCCGTCGCCGAGTCGCTCGCGCCGGGCAAGATCGTCGGCCTCGACGCGGCGGGCGACGTCGCCGCGGAGATTTCGGCCGCGACGGGCGGCTGGGGCGCGGACGTCGTCGTCGAGTGCTCCGGCAGCGCGCCCGGCGCGATGCTCGTGCCCTTCCTGGGCTGCCCCGGCGCCAAGGCCGTCTTCGTGGGCTGCCCGCCGGACTGCGCGCTGCCCATCGGCGAGCTCCAGGTCCGCGAGATGCGCGTGCTCACGGTCTTCCGCTACGCGCACGTCTACGCCAAGGCCATCGCCATGCTCGAGAGCGGCCTCATCGACGTCAAGCCCATCATCACGAACCACTGGGACTTCGCGGACAGCGTCGCGGCCTTCGACTTCTCCTGCGACCCGCCGGACGACGTCATCAAGTCCGTCATCCACCTGCCGTGAGCTCCCGGCCTTACGATCGCTTTTTTGCCTAGCCGGCGGTGATGTCGCGCTTGATGCCCGGGTCGTCCTCGGGCAGGGGCGTGTCGCGCACGACGCACTTCTCGTAGAGCGCCTTGAAGGCGGCGAGCGCGTCCTCCGTCGTGAGCGCGTCGAGCGCGGCGAGGTCGTCGCCGTCGAGCTGGAACGAGACGACGTCCGCGTTCTCGACCATGCGCGCCTTTTTGGTGGATTTCGGCATGTAGACCGCGCCCTTGGCGAGGCACCAGGCGCCCATGACCTGGGCGGCGGTCTTGCCGTGCTTCGCCGCGACGCGCAGCACCGTCGGGTCCTCGAAGGCCTTGCCGTCGCGGAGCGCGCGGTACGCCTGGACGACGATGCCCTTGTCGGCCATGTATTGCAGCGTCTTCGGCCGGTAGAGGAAGGGGTTGAGCTCGATCTGGTTCACGGCCGGCGTGATGTAGACGCCCGGGTGGTCCAGGAGCTCGTCGACGTCCTCGGCGGCGTAGTTCGACACGCCGATGGACGTGATCTTGCCCGCCTTGACGGCGTCCTGGAGCTCGAGGTAGGCGTCGACGTGCTTGCCGGGCACGGGCCAGTGCACGAGGTACAGGTCGAGGCGGTCCGTGCGGAGCGCCTTGAGCGTCGCGTCGATCTGCTTCCGCACGCGGCGCGGCCCTCGTAGATCGCGTCCGTCCAGACCTTGGACGCGAGGTAGAGGTCGTCGCGGTCGAACCACTCGGACCGGGAGATGGCCTTGCCGACCTCCTTCTCGTTGCCGTAGAACTGGGCGCAGTCGAGGAACTGGTAGCCGACGGCGAGCGCGTCCCCGACGATGTCCGCCGCCGACGGGCCCTGTGCGCCGGCCGCCTCGTCGCCCGCCGCCGCCGCCGACGCCGACGCGGGGATGAAGCCGACCTTGTAGGTGCCGAAGCCGATCATCGGGTGGTTCGTCCCGTCGTTGAGCACGTAGCTCGGGCCCCAGCGCTTGTCGTGCGCCTGCCCGGGGATCGGCGGACCGTAGACGCCGACCTCGCCCTCCCGCACGCCCTCGGACGCCGCGCGCATCGACGGCAGCAGCCGCGGCGACGCGCGCGGCAGGCCGCCGCGGCCCAGCGCGAGCAAGGTCGACGCGCGCGGCAGGCGCATCGTGCGGCGTCGACGCTCTCCGGCGCTGGCGCTCGCCACACGCTGCAGCGCTGGCTGGGGGCACAGTGCCGAGTGGAGCGTTTTGCGATGGCCCGTGCGCGCGACCTCGAGCGAACGCATGGTGCCAAATTGGCAGACGCCTAGAGGACCCTACTGAGAGTGCCTCTGCAGCGCATCGACGTGCGGGAAGTCGAACGCGTCGCGAAACCCGCCCGTGCGCTCCGCAGTGCAAACCAGTGGAGGTCGGTCGACGGGACCGCCTTCCGCGCCGCGCGCGACTACGGCGGCTGCTGCGAGCGCTTCGGAGGGTCCACGAAGGTACTACGGACGGGGCGCGACGTCGAACATCGTCCCGACGCACGTATTTCGACCGCGGGCTGGCGCTCAAGGCGCGCAGCGAGACGCTGGCGGGCGAGTTCGCATCGATGACGGCGGGTCCAACGATCTCTGGCTGCTGCGGAGGTCGACATCATCTACCACAAGACCTGCGAGGCGAGGCGCGCGAGCCTGGGACCCGTCGACGGCCCGCGACACGCCGACGGTTTCGGGGTCGTTTTCGGTGCCCGAGACGCGTTTTTTTCGCCGACGAGAGAACGCTGCCGTCGCGCGGTCTTTTTGGCCGGGCCGTCGCGTATGGTCATGCCGACGTGCGCGCGGCCCTTTAGAGCGCCGAAAACGACTCCCATGGCGTCGCGTAAGTGTCGGTTTTGGCTGGATTTCCTCTAGGGATCGGACGAACGCCATCCGATCGCTGCAACACCCTCACGGTTGGGCGTGAGACCTTGCTGGGGCGTTCCTTAGACGTACCTGCCGGTGCCTGCCAATTTGGCACCATGGAAACGACCATCGTCGCGCGCGCTGGCGTCGGCACTGCACTGTGCCCCCAGATCAGCGCTGTGGTGAAAACGCTTGCGCCGGGACGCCGCGTCACTGGCGGGCGCCGCGCCTTGTGAGACCCCTCGGAGCCCCCGCGCTCTCCCGCGGGTCCTCCCGCCCCCCCTACGTTTAGAGACGCATCAAGGTGAAAACGATGGACGCGTCAAATCACACGTCCTCGACGTCGTGCTCCGACGACTCGTCGCTCACCCAAGGGGGGAGCGGCGAGGACGACCGGGACAACGCCCCGGCCGAGGCAACGCCCAACAAGTCGCTGACCTACTCGCCGTCGTCGCTCGCGGACCGCGAGGGCTTCCAGGGCATGGAGCGCGAGCGGACGCCGACCAAGCCGGAAAGCGACGACGAGGACCTCGACGGCCTCATCGCGCAGGTCGACGACTCGCTCCGCGATTCGGTCCAGGGGCGACTCCCGCGCGCGACGGCGAGCGGCAACTTCCCCGGCGCGTCGCCGCTCGCGGACCGGGCGGCGGCGTCGCGGGACGCGGACCGCGTCGCGGCCGAGTGGCGGAGCTACACGGAGGCGCCCATGTTCTCGCCGCCGCCGCCGCCGCCGCCGCGCCGGTCGCCCATCGCCAAGGCGATCGACTGGCTC